AAGTAATTTTGTAATTTGTAAAACGCCCAGTAAACTTAGAAAATATACGAAGACTTATTTGTGGTGGAAAGGAAGTGTGGAAGCTACAAATTCAACACACCGCCCAGCAGGTGGGTGGTTTCTCATCTTCAATTCTTCTCCTTTTTCGCTTTTTTGTTTGTTTCAATTTTACATTATACACATTTGCTATTTGCAAATTAAATTTGAATTTTTAATTTTACAATATTTTTTTTTATAATTTCACATTTTATTTTATTATAATATTAAATATTTTTTATTTGTTTATAATTTTATTACTCATTTTATTTGTTTATAATTTTATAATTTTGTTACTCATTTTATTTGTTTATAATGTCATTATTTATTTTAATTATTTATAAATTCATATATTATTTTATTATAATTTTATATTTATTTATAACTTAAATTTTCATTTTATTTTTTTTTTAATTTCGTATTTTATTTTAATTATTTACACATTCTTATCTTCTTTTATTATGATTTCATATTTTTTTTATTTGTTTATAAGTTCGTATTTTATTTTGTTATAACTTAATATTTATTTATAATTAAAATTTTCTTTTTATGTTTTTATAACTTCGTATTTTATTTTAATTATTTACAAATTCATATCTTATTTTATTATAATTTTATATTATTTTTTTTTTATTTGTTCATAATTTTGGTTTTCATTTTATTTGTTTATAATTTCGTATTTTATTTTATTAATATTTATGATTTCACATTTTATGTTAGTTGTTTATAATTTAATATTATCTTTCTTAAAAATTTTATTAATTAATAAATTTATATCTTTTATTTATTTGTAATTTCAAACTCTTCATAATAGTAAATTTTTTAAATAATAATTTTTTATTTTATTATGTTTGTTTGTAATTTTATATTTTTTATTTATTTAAAATTTCATATTTTATTTCAATTATTGCATTTATAATTTCATAAATGTTATAGTTTAATATTTTATTTTATAATAGTTTTATCTATTAACAATTTTTATATTGTTTAATTTATATAAAAACGTGAAATTTAATATCTTATTTTATTTTCTTTTTTCCAATTTATATTTTTTTTTCATTTATGGTTCCTTATTTTATTTTAATTATTTATATTTTCACAATAAATTTAATTTTAATTTCATATTTAATGTTAATTTGTTAATAATTTCATATTTCATTTTAACTATTTATATTTTTATATTTATATATTATTATTTATTTATAGTTATTATAATTTATAGCTTATATTCCATTTTATTTATTTATAACTTCAAACTTGTTATATAAATAATTTTTATTAATAATTTCTTATTTCATTTTATTTGTTTAAAGCTTCTTATTTAATTTATTAGTTTATTTATGCTATTTGTTCATAATTTAATATTTTATTTTAGTTTCTTATATTTATTTTATAACATAATATATTATTTATATTTATTTGTAATTTCATTTTTATTTATTTATAAATTCGTATTTAATTTATTGTATTATTAATTTAAATTACCTTATTTAATTTTATTTTGTAATAATTTAAAATTTTTTATTATAATCTTTCTTGTTTATAACAGCTTGTTTTATTTTAATTATTCTTTTCTTATTTTTTGTTTTGAATTTAATATTTTATTTCATTTGATTAAAATTTTATTTTTATCTTATTCGTTTACAATTTCGTATTTTGCTTAAAAATTTCCTTTTTCATTTTAATTATTTATAATTAATAACCTTTTTTTTCCAATTTTACGCATTTAAGCAAAAACGAACGCCTGAAAGTATGCACTACATGCGCACATATAGGGAACCAATTTTGATTCAAGGAATTTTCCGAAAAATCGCCGAAATTAATTTTCATTTTGCTCATAATTTAGTATTCACCTATAAACATTTAGTATAATTATGCATTTTATTTGCATTTTTTATTTTCACTTTTTTCACTAACAGCCTTGCTAAGGTGTTTTAGCTAATTTAAGTTTATTTATATGCGAATTATTATTTTTAAATTTTTCTTTGCATTCAAATATATAATAATTAATGGTTTCTTTTTTCATCAGAATTTTGTATATTTATCTTTAAGCTTTACACACTTAACTCTTACATGCTGTGCACAGCTTAATTATGTATATATATATATATTGCACAGTTTGCTAATATTTATTTGTTATTAATTTCTTTCCATAAATTTATATTTTCTAAAAAAAAAAAAATATTTTCTTTGCCGTTCCCTAGTAAATTCGAGTTCAACACTTTAGCTTTTGTTTAATCTTAAGTCTTGCTTTGCTTTGTAACTGAAAATTTTTTATTATCCTTAAAATACATATTTGCATGTATTTCTAAAAATTTTATTACCCTTTTTGCAGTTACAAATATATGTATGCATGTATTCGTTTTTTAACTCTGGTTTAAGTATTGTATATTTTTTCAGTGTTTTGTGTTGTTTGAGATTTTGTAGTTTTTTGTGTATTTGTTTTTTTTTTTTGTAAACAAAAACTTGCTGAATGTATGACGCAAAATGTTTAATGTTTTTTATAAAATTTCTCTTAAGCTTATTTTATTTTTGAAAATAGCAAAACTTTCGAAAACATCAAAAACACGGCTGTATGAAAATGGTGAGGAGCATGATTTTAGAAAATTTCAAAATTGACGAAAAAAAAAAACTGAAAATAATAAAATTTTTCGGGAAGTGCAAAAATTCATTATGTATGAGTTTTTTAAAGTAAGCTGAATCAGTCAAGCTAAAAAGAGTGCAGTAAAACTTCATATGTTTCCAAATTGGCGCATAAAAGTAATATTAAAACATTTCAAAACTTTTAATATTTAAATTAAGCACAAATTTAAATTTAAATATTTCGATTTTGCATAACTTTATCATAACAACTCCTTTTTCTCCAAATTTTAGTGCACGATTTTCTCAAAAACTGTTTTTTCCGCTCAAAAGTGTTCTGACTGCTTTTTATCGTGTAATTAATACGAATATTAGTGAGCTGAAGAATTTTTTTTACTTTTCGAAAAATATGTTTATAAATAACTTTTATCGAGCGCTAATAATTTTTCATATTTTTTATTTTTTTTTTTTTTGAAATATGTATGTATTGAAAAAGTTCAAGCACCTCTTGCTGTTAAAATCAATTTCAACTAGTTAAGCTTTAATAACATTTTATGTTCTTTTTAAAATAATATTTTTTTTAATTTGAAATTTTATATATTTCGACACTAACTGGCGCGTGTACTAAGATGTTATTTTAGTAATTTTAAGTTAAAGAAATTTACTATTTAAGTTTGCTTAAATAATCAAAATAAATTTAGGTGTGTCTACGTTTAAGTTTTATAGTTTATAAATTTTTTTATAAATTGTTATTAAAATAATTTGTTTTATTTTATATAATTGATACTTTTAAAATCTTCTAAATTTTTGAAATTTTCGACATGTGCTTAACCTTTTTTTATTCCATTTAATTTATTTATATTTTTTCTTATTTATTTTTAATTTCATATTTTATTTTAAATATTTATAATCCCGTATTTTGTTTTATTCATTTATAATTATAAATTTTACTTTATAATAATTTTATATATTAATAATTTTATTGATTAAAAATTTAATATTTCATTTTATTTGTTTATAATCTTTATTTGTTATTTTTATTTACAATTTGTTATTCTAATCATCTGCCTTTTGTTTTAGTTTGCTTTGAAAATTTAATGCACAATTTTCACTAAAATTATTGTTAAAATGTTGCTTATTATATTGCTTTTAGAAAATAAATTCTATTAATATTAAAACAAAAATCAAGAGGTAGAAAAAAATGTTGTTTTGTTTTAATAAAAATGACTAAAAACACTAAGAACTTTTTTGAAAATTTTGAAACACAAATTTTACTTAGAATAAGCTTTTGATCAAATTAAAATCGCCTTCGAAGACCGAAGATGTAAAATTTAAATATATTTTTTTTAAATCCCAATTAAGATATTAATTATATTAATTAGGATATTTTTTTTGGAAAATCAATTTTTCGAAATTTTCGCCCTTTTTTCTTATTTGTCTTGTCTGAACCTAATGCACTTTTTTTTAATTAATTACTTTTTAAAATTTTTATGGTTTTTTTATAGAAGATAAGTTTTATTAATAGCAAATAAAAGAAAATTTCAATAGAAAAATTGCTGCTGCTTTATAAAAAGAGAGAAAAATAAAAATTATATATGCTAGGAACTCTTTTGAGAACTTTTAAAAATATATATTTTTTAAATCTGTTTTTTTTTTTTTAAATTGGATTTAATTAAAATTGATTTCGAAGACCAACTTGTATTAAAACTTGTATTTTAGAAAATTTTATTTTTTATTTTTTTGACGTCTTCCTACTTTAGGTTTGTTTCGAAATTTCATAGCATTCCTTTTACTTTAATTATTGTTGAAATTTTCAAAATGTTTGCAAATTTTTTCTGTTTTTTTATATATGTTAACACTACATTTGAGAACTTGTAAAAATGGATTTTCTTTGAAAATCAGCTTTTTTTAAACTTAAAATATTAAATAAAATAAAATCGACTTCGGAGACCAAAGTTATATAAATTTAATTTAATTTTAAAAAAAAGCTTAAATAATTTTTTTTGTTTTAAAACTTAGTTTTGTAGTTTTTATTACATTAAAATAATTTTCAAGAGTTAGAACAAGTGCGCTATTGAAAAATTACTAAATATTTTAACTGATAAAATACTCTTGAAACTTTTAAGATTTTCTCATAAGCTTCTTTTTCTTCAAAATTCTGTTTTCCCTCATTTTTGGGTTTAAAAAGATTTTCGCAGTAATACTCTGAGCATTAAAAGTTTAAGCGATATTAAAAATTAAACTTGTAAACAAAAGAAAAAAACTGTGCCATCAACATTTATTTGTTTAAATCCCCTTTTAAATACAAATTGTTATATTATTTTTTTTAGCTTTTCATAATTTTTTAGTTGTTGCCTGCAAAAATAAAATTAAAAAATAGTACATAAAATTTTCTAATTCTGTATTTCTGTATTCTCTTTTGTTTTTGGTGGTAATTTGTAAATTCTTAATATTTTTTCCAATTTTCACCGTTCATATTCATTTCAATTATAAGTATGTAATATTTTCTCTATAAAATTAAAGACGATTTTATACATTATATCAGCTTAATTATAGCAAACTTATGCAAATTTGAAAGAGATAATTCATATTTTAAATAAATAACAAATTAAAATAAATCTGTATGCAAATTGTATACAATTCAAATTATATATGTATTGTAGTTGATTTAATTAAAATTTATAAATTGTTGGTAGAGTTTTTGAAAGTTTTTGAGAATTTTAGAAAATTTTTCAATCTTAAATTCTGCCGACAGCATAACTGGCAAGCTATTTGTGAACAATTTTTTTCACGTCTCAGACACAATTTTGGCAGATTTTGAAAATAAAAAAAAAATTGTTTGAATTATTTTTCTGCTTTGAAATTTAACGTGAAGTCTTAAATGTTTTCTGTGCAATTTGTTTATGAAGGCCTGCGTCAAGTAGTTTGTAAATTTGTCAGCATATTTTGTAGTTCCTTGGTCAAGTGGTGAGCTTCAGCCGTGTTTTTGCATAATTTGTAGTTGTTGTGTTGTATTTTTTTGAAATGATTGAATAAATTTCTTTGAGTTTTCATTTTAGAAAAATTGCAACTTCCGTTATTTTTTTTATGCTTGCATCCGTCTCGCTGTTATGCCATGTTTAGCAATGAAAAATTGTACAAGGCATGTGGGCCGGGTCAAGTACTGCGCTATTGTTTATTAGCTGCCGCTGCTATGTAGCTTAGTTTTATTTAAGTAACATGAAAAAAAATTGCAAAATTTAGTTTTTTTTGTTTTTTTTTTTTGAAATTACAACCTTGCGTTTCGTCTTGTGTTTTTATGTTTTTCTATGTTTGTTTAGTGGTTTTTTTCGTTATTTTATATTTGCGTTTTTTGTTTTTGTTTTTAATGGCATGCAATAAATTTTCATCAGATTCTACCATTCTGTCTACAATGGAGTTGGGAAAAAATGTACTAATTTTTTTTTAATTAATAAAATGAATTTGCTGCAGCGGCGCACACAACTGAAGATTGTTTAATAAATAATTTGCGTTCTTATTCATTTAAATGTGTTAAAGTTTGCTTTTCTGTTATGTATGTTTGTTGTTGTTGTGTAAGCATGCATTATCTATATAATATATGTGTGTGTGTCCACCATTTTGTTGTCATACATTTGTGCTGAATTTATTTATGTAATTATTTGTATGATTTGTATGGTTTGTATGTGTGTGTTTCTTTCCAGTTTCATTTCTATGCTTTGTTATTTCATTGTTCCTTATTGCTTTTGGCAATTTCTCAAATTAATTTTAATTATAAATTTATTTTTTATTTTTATGTTATTTTAAAGTAAAATTATCCATTGTCTTCTCTCCATATGCTCTTTTATACCGTTAATTGTTAGCTTTGCTTGATTTTTAAATTCTTAATTGTAGTTATTTATTCTTCTCTGCTTTTTGTCTTGGCTATGCTACTATGAAATTTCTATATTTATATTGTTGTATGTGTATGGTTTTTTATTTTTCCTCTTCTTCTTATTCTTCTTTTTGTCTATGTCTTCTTCTTTTCTTTTGAATATTTTATCATTCAACTCATCTCGGCTCATTCTCCATTTCTTTAGTTTTAGTGTGTTTTAAATATTTTTTTGGTTGCAAAAAAATTGCATTTTTTCCATAAATTACAACTTTTCTTTTGATATTTTTTTTTATATTTTTTTTTTGGCATTTTTTTTTTGTTTAATATTTATTTCACTAGCTCTTTGTAGTTTGTTTGCTTGTTACTAACGTATTAGCAAAAAATTCTGCGCCTTTTCGGTGATTTTCTTACATAGTCCCGCTACTCTCCGTCACATTCCACCGTGATGACTTTGATTCTCACTCCCCGACGGCTTGTGCTCGTCCGTTGTTGCCGTCGTCGTAGTTGCTTCGGTTCTATTATGCTCACTCTCGTCACACTCTTCCAATTCGGCTAAGTTCTCTTGATCGGACTCTTCAAGTGTCACCTGTGTGGAGAGTTGCAGAAGTTAGTCGAGTTTTGAAAGCTGCGGAGACGACGATCTTCAATTGAGTTGAGGCAGCATGTTCTAGATAAATTTCCAATAATCTTTGTATATTTGAATTTTCCAACCCTCAACTCAATTGTCAATCGCTTTTAATTTCAATGAATGAATGAGCAACGCACTACTGTTTTGTTTATTGTTTGATTTGTTCTAAGTATCTGCGGCCATTAGTTGGTGTTAGCTAGTGTCTTTAGTTTAGTTTCTATTATTGTTTGTTTTTTATATCTTTTATTTTTACTTTATTTTGTCTAAGTATTTTCTCAGCAACTCACTTGAAAGCGTATCTTATCGTCGGAGGGTTGATCGTCGGCCGCCGATGGTGGTGGTGATGGTGGTATCATGCTCTGATAATAGTCTCTATTCTCTTCAAGCGTATCAAGTATTTCTTGTGCATCTGGATGCACTAAATCTGCCCACGTCTCCCATAATGGATGTACAATATAATCGATAAATCCGACCTGCGATTTTTCGATTGTTGAATTATGACGATCGCACATGGGACTAATATCCATGCCCGATTCACGTTCTTTATCGCCCTGCAAAAAGAACTCCTCCATAAGTAGACTAACCCAGCGTTTGTACAATGGCAATGGTTTGGTTGGATTACTTAAATCAGCGCAATGTACAAGATTTTCGAGCACCTGAAGAAATGGAAAAAATTTAGTACAACTGAGATCTCAAAGGGTTTCTGGGAAGTTTTTTTAAGTAAATAATAATGAAAATAAATATGCTAACAATATATAATATATGTGGTAAGATGACGTAATAATAATAATAATAATAATATTAATAATAATAATAATAATAATAATAATAATAATAATAATAATAATAATAATAATAATAATAATAATAATAGTAATTATAATAATAATAATAATAATAATAATAATAATATTAAAAATAATAATAAAAATAATATTTTTTTTAATAATAATAATATTAAAACTATATTTAAAAATCAAAAATAAAATAACATAATCAAATAATACAATAATTACAAAAAAAATAATAATAATAAATTAATAAAATTATTTAAAAACAATATTTAAAAATAAAAAAAAAATATATATATAAATATATATCCTGTAATAAAATATATAGTAAATAAAAATAATTAAATAATAATAATAATAATTTAATAAAAATTACATTCAAATAATATTTAAAAATATAAACAAAATAATTATCATAATTAAATAACAATAATAACAAAAAATTAATAATAATATTAGTATAACAACAAAATTAATTAATATTAAATAATAAACTATTTAAAGTTAAAATAAAAATTATCACAAATCGTATTAAATTCGCTATAACAATAACAAATTAATAATAATAAAAATAAATAATAAAGAAATCAAAATAATAATATTAAAAATATAGTAATAATAAAAATAAGTAATAATGAAATCATAATAATAATAAACTAAAAAATTAACAACAACAATAAAACAATAATATTTTAATATAATGATTAAAAATGAATTAATGAAAATTAAAAGAATATAATAAAAATAATAAACTAAAAATAGTAATAATAAAAATAAATTATTAGTAGATATACGTAATAAAATCATTAAAATTATAATAATGAGAAAAAAATAAAATAATAATAATAATTATTACAATTACATTAATAATAATAATAATAATAATAATAATAATAATAATAATAATAATAATAATAGTAATAGTAAAAGTAATAATAATATTAATATTAATAAAAATATATTATAACAATATATAATAAAAAAATAATAATATTAGTAATAATAATAATAAAATCATAATAATAATAAAATAGTTCTAACGAAATGATTAAAGTAATAATAAATTAATATAAAATATAATATTAATAATTATAATAAAAAGAAATTAATTATAATAATAATATAATAATTAGTATTATTATAATAATTAATTAAATATTATTAATTAAAATAAATTAACAATGATTATCATAAAATATTCATAAAAATTGAACAATAATAATAAGAGAATAAAGTTAAAAAAATATAAAAATATTATTAATAATAATAGTCAAACATATTATTTTTGAAATTTTTTCCTTCCTCCAACTCACCTGTATACGATCGGTGTAGTTGTCCAGCAATAGCACACCGGAGCCGGCGACCTTTTTCGTCTCGACCATAGTCTTTAAATCGGCCAACAAACTCATGTGTTTTGACATGTCCGTAGAGAGGACAATATCTATAACCATCTTCCTTAATGTTTGGCGTTGTTTCCTATGATGGACGAAGAATTGTGAATTATTTATTTTCTTATATAAAAAGCTTAAATATTATGTTACTGTTGACATATATATATACTTAAAATCTTGAATTCAGTGAGAGATTTTATCACTTGAAAAATATATTTAACTTAACTCATGTAGCCTTTGAACACAAAAATTCGGCATTAAATTAATGAAGAAATTAATAATATACCCATTCAGGGTTTCGTACAGATAAAGGTAAGTGTGAAGTGTCTTACTCAATTCAAATGATTTGAGGTTTCACAATAAAGCCTGCATAATTTTTTTGGTATATTTTTTTTTGGTGAACCAAATACTTTTACAGTTCAATATAACTTTTCAAGTGACCTAAAAAATTAAATTTCGTTAACTAGTGTCTTTACTTACTTTTGCATATTACAGAATATATCACATCCTTGATTTTGTAATAATTTAAAGGCAACCGCTAAATGATGATTTTCCAAAACAGATTCGTCATTATACATTAAGGCTAATTCGGAACCTAAAATTTTGTAAAAATATTTTTAGAAAATTTTTAAAAATTAACAAGCGAAATATAGTTGTTTAAAAAAATGAAGCTCATTTTTAGTTTAATGAGAGCGTAAAAAAGCAGAATTGTCGCTTTTTGGAGTGAAGATCAGCCAGACGCATTGCAAGAGCTATCAATGCATCTAGGAAAAGTCACAGTTTGGTGCAGTTTATGAGCTGGTGGCAACATTGGGCCGTACTTCTTCAAAAATGATGCGAATGGTAACGTAACTGTGTATGGTGAGCGCTACCGTGATATGGTATTAAACTTTTTTTGCCCAAAATGTTAGGGCTTGACTTGCATGACATGTGGTTTCAACAAGACGGTGCCACATGCTACACATCACGCGTAACAATGGATGGATTGAGAGACGAGTTCGGTGAACATTTTATTTCAAGTTCGGAACTGGCCAATTGGCGGCCTAGAACGTGCGATTTAACGTTACCTTAGACCATTTTTTGTGGCGCTATGTTAAATCTAATGTCTATCCAGACAAGGCCGCTTCAATTGACGCATTGGAAGACGACATTGAAGCATTTATTCGTGAGATACCGAAATGTTGGAAGAAGAAATAGTGATTTGAAGGTGCTAGAACAAACAAGGAGAGACGCGAGATAGCGCAGGATATCCCATTTAAATGATACCAGCAGTATCAGTGGGGTTGGCGGTTCGTGGTCTGGAATTGACGTATACTGAATCATCATCCGGAATTTTTTTAGGGTCGCATAGTATCTTACAGAGTTGTTGAACTCAAAACACGGATGTAAAGATTTTCTTGGTTGAAATTGTCTTTTAGAATTTTTCAGCGCATGATGTTATGTCACTGTTGATACTGTTTTTTGGGTTAAGGCGTATAGTGTAACGGAGTTCACAACGCGTCAACAACTCTATACCCGGCCTCCACTCGATTTAACGTGCGTTAGCCTGTCAGTTTTCTGTTGTTTTGGGACCCATCTGGCGGAGAGTTTCCAATATCCGACGGCTGCTGGGATTGTTTTGTGCAGGAGAGATCGGGAAATTTGCGGAAACATTGCAAAAAGTTCATCCGCCGTCAATCTGCGATCATCAACGTGCACATTTACTAATTTTCGGACATTTCATATGTCGATATTCAAGGTTTCCGCCCCTCTCTTCACCATGCACAGACTTATGACCATTTTTTAACCCCTGGCACGGCTTGTACACATTTCAAATGACATAATGACGATGACACGTGTTTTGCACTTGGCGGGAGACTAAAAGACATTATTCAAGAAGCGTGTTATCGCGTCGACGTCAACGTACTGAACACGTGGTGGTCTCCTTCGGTCGTGAGAATTTCACTACACTTTTCTCCTGGATTTACCTCGTATGCTAGTTTTTCGATCTGAGCGGTTGAAACGAGCAGACTTGCCTAAGTAAGCTCAGCTCGTGGTACTGTGCAGATTGGTATATACAGTGATGGGTCTTTGAGACAACATTAATATATCATTTTGTGTACATAGAAGATATAAAAAACCCGTTTCGAAAAACCATTCATTACTATAACTATTAAATAAGGCAAAGCAACTTAAAGTTATTGCTTCATGATCACTGAGAACCTCACATACATTTGCACAAATACTATAATTTCGACTTACTTGAATTAACTAAAAATTGATTCGTTAAACCAGGATGATCAACATCGTGTATACAAGCAGCAAACAATGCTCCGCCCACTTCCAATGATGTGAACACGCCCTCCAGCGCTGGTGTATTGAGCAGTACATTTGTACTTTGTGTCACATCGGCCGCATGCAATGAATTGTGAAACGGATTGTCTTTAACATAATGATCCTCCAGAGTAGTCATAAAATTAATAAATGTTTTCGGTGGTATCATAAGACTGGTCAGTAGTTCTCTACTCTGTAGGGTGAAAGAGATCAGCAAGCAAATATATTAAAAAATTTATTAAAAACAAAATGTATATATGTACAAATGTATGTACACGTATGTAAAAAAAATAAAACTCCCACCTGAAATATGGTGTATGCCACGCAGGTGAGTGGACGATTGGCGCTCAAGTCGCCAATCTTGAATATATCAATGCCCCACGTATCCACGTCGCCCAGCAGTGTGCCGAGCGCATTCTCGTGTACCGTTTCCACGCCAAATGTGGGCAAACGTTCGCCGGTGAAAGAGTTCGTATGGGAGAGTGGTCGTTTCACGCCCGATATCTGTGACATGGGCGGACCGCGTGGCGAACGGCAACGTTGATGCTGGGTAAGCATGCTGAGTTGTTCGGTGTTATCGTCGCCGCGCATCGAGGGCAAGTCCAGTTCTTGTTGCTTATCTGGAATGGAAAGAAAGAACACGAATTAAAAATAAAATTTTTATTTTTCGCAATGAAATAAATATATATATATTGAGACCAATAATATGTTTTTCTTATGTAGACAGACTAATTTCTATAAAATTCTTAATTTCTATGGAAAAATGTAGAAATCATCAATGAAAAAAAGTGATTTTTGAGGTGATTTTATTTATTTATTTTTATTTTTTTGTTTTTATTTAAACAAAATTGGAATCAAATTTTAATAAGAATTTTTTTCGAAGCATCTGTTGGTCTAGTAAGAAGTATTCCATTATTTTTGCAATAGTTGCTTATAGTGATCTGTGCCTCCCATCCGATTGGATTACAATAAATGGCGATAAAAAGATGATTTTTCGTATTGAAATGGGAGAAGTGTTGATCAGTTAACTCATCAGTGTTTGAGTGCATGCCAAAGGTGGCTACCATCAAATGTTCTACAAATATTCTTCGATAAAGGGGAAAAGGCAAGTCAGGCAACAGAAAATGTGAATAATGTTCATGGCCTTTATACTGTAACAACAACCAGTTTTTCACCACTCGAAGTCCACGTATCCAGCCTACACAAGCGAGTTCGATATTATATGACTTAACATGAATAGACCTATGGTGCCGGATTTCCAACTGCGAAGCGCTACTGAATCGTAACATTAGCGCCCAATTTCTGAGACGGTTAGTCATGACAAGTTGATCACTTGCAGCAACGTCAAATGCAAGCGGTCGTGGTCGAAGGGCAGTGAGCCAGCACAAACGGTCTCCGAGTGGGTGCGTTGATGAGTTGCTCTCTTTTAGCGAAACTCTTAATTTCAGACGTGTACTATCAGCAATTGGTTCGCTGAGAATCCGCCGGCTTTGGCTAACACGAGCGAAATTGTATTTCATCAGCACAACGCCAGACTATATTTAGCGATAGTGACAAATCAGCAGCTCCGTGAGCTTGGTTGGGAGATTCATATGCATTCGTCCTGTCTATGGAGCGTGATTCGTCTGTCTCCAGTCAAACAAGAAGAATTACAAGAAGAAAAGCCGGTTAGTGGAGTAAGATACTGACCTCTTTAAAAAATCGTGTTTTTCTATCGATTTTCTTGTAATTTGATACTTTTTTTGTTTCATGAATTTTGGTAGTTTAACATGAACATTACTTTCTCTCCCTGTAATTGGTACTAAGATCGAGCTTTTCTAAAATATCTTATTTTAATCTTATAACATTTCAAGTATTTTACTTGAATTAGGGTCAGGAACGATAACCTAGATTTTTGGGTTTATTTTATAGCCCGGTACTGGAAAAGAAATTGGTAAAATTTTGCTAAAATTTAAATTTTTTGTAAGAGAGTATGCCAAAAAAACGAACTATATTTTTTTTGTGCTTTCGTCCAAATTTTAATTATTTTTTTCACTTCACATTTTTTTCAAATTCAATTTTTTTTTCTTTGAAATTCCCTGCCGAAAAGCATATACTTTTGTATGTTGGTCGAACCAGGCTACGAACTCTGGGCTTACAAATAGCAGCATGAACGGCTAACCAGTTGTTGATTTGTATAGCAGCTCACCATTTCCTGTTAATGTTAATATCGATAATTTTTACCACAGTATATTGCTGTTATACCTATCTACCGACGCGTGAGTTCCATTCTCTGTTACGCTCCATTGAAAAGCGAAAAACTAAGTTCGTCGCTTCATTGTCACAATAGCCGAGTGGCTAGAGATTACCACAGTGACGTAGAGGGTTCATGTTTCGATCCAAGCTGCATGTATATACATTTTTATTTTTTTTTGTAATTTTTCTTCTCATTTTTGTTTTTTTATCTCGTTTTAATTCTTCTTTTTTGGACTATAAGAAATCCAACATGTCTAAATGAACTAGTATACAACTAGTATAAAGCTAATACATAGTCAGACAACTGGGAGTCGTATTAAGACTACTAGTTGCTTATATGGAAAGTAGATGAAAGACGAACTAGTGAACAACTAGTCAAAAACAAGTACTTTTTCTTGTGGGGAATGCACAAATGTGTGTGTAGTTGTTAATGTTGCACACCTTTTGTATATGTATATGTAAATAAACATACATTCATACATATATATATATATATATAAAGGTATAAATTTTTACATGTAAAACATTTTTGCATTTCTTTTCACACGCTCGATTTTGGCGGCTGAAAGATTTCATTTTGACGGTTGATTTTCGGTAAAAAATGTTTAGGATTATTTAACATATTTTAATATGCAAATACAATTTTCGCTAAGGCTTTAGCCACTTGAGTGGTTTCTTATGAATATACGAATATACGAGGTGTGTTCAAAAAATAAAGAGAATTTCTTTTTTTATTTTGTCGACTGTTAATAAACAATATAAAAACATATTTACGTAAATCCATAGCTGGGAAACAAATTGTTTTTTTGAAATTATGCTGTTGTTTTAAAATGTAAAAAAAAAAATTGAATATAAGAAAATCGTTGATATTCCCCTGTGTGCATTTTCGACATCCCCTGAGCATATTGAACATCATACAAGTGCAAACACAAACTGCCACAAGACAACATAAGTTTCTTTACATAAGCCCAACAATTTCTTAAACTCTCACTTTTTGCCTCAATTTGTCAAGTAAACCAATTTTCTGCGCCAGAGGTCAAATTAGACTCATAACTTTTAGCTGTCTAGCAAATTACACTCAACGCTTAGCATTTTCAATATTTTCCTTTACAACATGCGTTTGGTATGTGCGCTATGGCAACAACTTCAGCAATTCCCTTTGGGCAAATATATGTATGTACAATACATATTTATATGTAATTTTATATGTATAAAATATTTAATATACAATTTTAAACGCACATCAATACGTGTATGTTGTGTATGCATGGTTGGTTAAGCTTGCTATTTCTTGATGGAAATCTTATTTACATACATACATACATATATAAGTGCCTCTAATATCTTCGCATATTTCACTTAACTTAACAAATATGCATATAGTCACATCAAAGCATATTTGCAACACATATGCAAATCATAATATACATCAATCACATAAATACGTACGTATGTATGTGTGTATGAATGTATGGTGCAAGCAGCTTTGTAATTCTTGGATTGGTATGTAGGTAGATATATATTTGGCAACGAAATCAGCTCATTGTTGGTACTCTTGTAACCAAAAACCAACAAATAATTTCATTTCGCTTGTTTTTTATATGTAAGTATAATACATACATATTTAGTTATAATACTTAATATATATGTACATACATACATATATGTTGTATTAACATACAATATATATATATATCGTTATACAGATTATTCTCATTGATTGGGATTTGTGGCTTCTTTGTGGAACGTGCAGATTTACATATATACATACATACAATACGAGGGGATTAACAAAAGTTCGGTGAGTTGGTGTCTTTCAATTTTTTTTTTGTTAAATTTAAAAATACCAAATCCTTTGCCATTACTTTATTAGTCTTCCTTTAAAATTTTAGAACGACCGGTTAAAAGGGAAACGAGAAAACACAAGATAGCTGAGGATAGGTCAGACGAAATTCCAACACCAATGCCAACAGAAATTCGCCACCAGATTCTCTTCGGGTTTCGACATAATTTAAAGCCAATACAAATATTCAGTGAATGCCAAGTTGCATATGGAATGATTGCTCCGTCTTTAGAGACTATTTCTAATTGGTTCCGAAGATGCCAGACCTGACATTTTTCCGTAGAGAGCGAGCTCCGCGAAGGTCGACCAAAATCTTCCACTCATGACTCATGTCACTGTGGCTCTGGTGAAGTACAAAATTGACGAAGAATTACAATTGACACAAGAAATGATTGCTAGTGAATTGGGCTTGAGTGCCATGGCTGTATCGCGAATATTAAATAATCACCTGGGATACGCGTAGAAATCCGCTCGTTGAGTACCACGATTTTAAATTAGGCCCAAAAAGAGGTTCGAGTGCATTTTGCTCAATTTTTCTTAAACACATTCGAAAATGGTCAGTCTAGAAACTTTTGTAGGGTCGTTACTGGTGACGGTTCTTGCTTCTATAAGTAAGGCCTAGAAACCAAACAGCGGATCGTCGTATGGCGCCCAACAGCAGCAAAGCCACGCGTAAAATTTAAGCAACAAAAATTAGCAGCAAAAGTAATGATGTCAGTTTACATCACATGATCTAAAATCGTATACCAAAAGTTTTCAAAAATTTGTTGGAAAACAAGAAAAAAGAGGATTTGCCGTGCTAAATTTTCATCATGACAATGCGCCATCCCACATTGCTGAAATAACGAGTAATTTTATTGCGATCTCTGGGAACAAAGAAATACGTCCAGCATCATATTCTCCCAGATATAGGTCCTTGTGATTTCTGATAATTTCCAAAAATTAAAAAAATCTGAAAGCAAAGGTCTTTAATAGCAAGGAAGAGATAAATTATACAGTTAGCGTTGGATTTTATAAGCTTAAAAAGCAAGATTTTGAAGACCGTTTTCAGAAGTGGATCCACCATAGGCAAAAGTAATGCTGTGAATCCAATGGTGATTATGTAGAGAAGATAATAAAGTACAAAGATTACGAATAAATACAAAAATTTTTTATTTATCTTGGTCAACTTACAGAACTTTTGTTAATCCCCTCGTATATATATATATATATATTTGTGGTTATAGTGGCCATAACACGAACCTAAACCTTTTTGTTAAGCCTGAATAGTCGTATGCTATGTAAAAGAAGGATTTGGTAGCTTTTTTTAGTTTTCAAACAGGAATTGAAATTTTTGTTGTTCTCTCATACAAAAGCTGATTCAAATCGAACTTGATACACTCCATTTCCGTATTTAAAAAATAATGCCAATAAATCAAACCAAATGGCATGCATTAGGAATAGAGTAGGTGTGTTAGCCTTTCGACCACTTTTGGTAACAGTTAAGCGGTTGTGTCAGCAATAAGCCGCCGAATATTTTTTCCCAAGGCGTCAACGTCTTCT